GGCGGGGCCGGGCCGCAGCCACGCGCTCGTCCACTCCGGTGGAACTGGGTCATGCGTGGGCCAGGCGAGGGCTCCCCTGTTCCGAGTCCAGACGTGAACGCGGGTCCAGGGACACCCGGTCCTGTCTCCTCCGAACGCGTGCCGTGAAGGGCACAGGCTGTTTCTGGAAGGAATTGTGATGCTCTGCGTATAGAAAGTGTCCGGGGACGTGCGGGAGGTTTAGGAGCCCCCACACTTGGGACACCTGCGGAAGGCCAACTTCCTTTTGAAAGGAGATCGTTACTTATCTGCTGACTATTCGTGCATATAACAAAGGTAATGCCTCCTTTAGTGAATTGGTGTATGCACAAGTGAACAGGCAGAAGCTCGCAAAAGAATTGGTTGTGCAGTTTTCCTCCTGTGGCCAGGAGCCAGCTCAGATTAATAGGCAAAGGGGAGTTCTGAGAGTTAAAATTAAAAAAAAAAAAAAAAGACTAAAATTTTGAGCTTTTTTTACTATAGAAAATCTCAAAGAAAAGTACAGTGAAGTTACCGAATTTCAGAAAATATCAACATTTTTAAAATCTTGCTTCATCTGTCCCCACCACCACTACCCAAACATTTTTTTCTTTGCTGGGTCATGTCAGTCAATCACCCTTCAGTATTCATCTTAAACTGATAAGGACTTTAAAAAAAAACCCAAACATGATATTCAGATTAATTTTTTGTTTTGTTTTGTTTTAAATATATTTTATTGATTTTAGAGAGGAAAGGAGCAGGGGAGAGAGAAACATCAATGATGAGAGAGAATCACTGATTGGCTGCCTCCTGCAGGGCCCCAACTGGGGATCCAGTCCCCAACCCAGGCATGTGCTTTTGGCCAGAATCAACCTGGGATCCCTCAGTCCACAGGCCAACGCTCTATCCATTGAGCCAAACCAGCTAGGGCCAGATTAATTGTTTTGAAGTATTCAAGATTATTGTACTTAAATAATGGCCTGCTTTTAGCGAAAGGAAAGCTGGGTATCCCCCCCCAAAAAAAAAAAAAAAAAACTTTTCCCACCAAAAAAAAAAAAAGCAAATAACAGGAAAAAATCTGATTGCTTGGCTCTGTGGACTTCCTCATCTGCAAATTTAGAAATCCTAGAAATTTTTTTTTTCTTAAATCTCCCTTTCAGGAGAAATGGGTATCCTAACAGATATCACTATAATCACGATTTAGGGATTC